CTACTACACAGCCATAGGTAACCCCCGTTACTGTACCAAACTCACAGGTATCCCCCATTACAACATGACAGTATGCACTGACAACAACATGACAAGACACACATATGATAATGCAACATGACTCCCAAATAACTATGTAACATAACTGACAAACTACCATACGACACGACTCATAGATAATAATGCATCACGACTCACAGACAACAATACATTATGACTCACAGGTGTCCCCCGTTACAATACGACATGACTCACAAGTAGCCCCCGTTACAACACGACACGACTCACAGGTATCCCCCATTACAACACTAGCCGGCTCACAGGTGTCCCCCGTTACAATTGACACGACTCACAGGTAACCCCTAATACAACACAGTCACAGGTAACCCCTGTTACAAAACTCACAGGTAGCCCCCGTTACATCCAGTACAACTGTGCACAGGCAACTGCCTAATCTCATGGGTATCCCCCGTTACATAAAAATCAATCACAGTAATATCTCATCTCCTCTGTAGACAATCCCTCTTCATGTAGCCCAACTGACCACACCGAAAACAAACTCCGGAACTAGGCTTATCAAAAGGACACTCCACCTTGCGGTGTCCTGGCTGCTTACAGTGATAACACACTAAACTCGTCCTAGAGGACCCTGAAGAAACACCAACAATAGGAGTAGCACCTGCCGTCTGCTGCTCCTGAGAAAACAACGAAACACTTCTGTACTTTTTTATACTCCCTAGCTCTCGGAAGAAGTACTCACACTTGTACCTCATCCCTGAGAACCCATAATACCACTCCTTTCTTGCCAATCTTTGGCTTCTGCCTCTGCCATCAGTGCTCTCATAATCGCTTCTGAATAATTCTTTAATTCCAAAAGTGTCACCCCCGGACTAATAGAACGATTCAGGCCATACACAAAATGCCATGTCTTCTCCTCCTCGTTCCCTAACACGTCCGTAGCGAAACGTAAAATAGAAGTGAACTTATTCTTATACTCTATCACTAACATGTCACGTTGTTCAAGCCTGTCAAAATGCATCGTCAATTCTCATTTCTTAGTTTGCAGAAAATATTTATCAAAGAAAAGACTCTTAAATGCATCCCAACTCATACTGTTAACATCATGCGCGCTAATCATGGTCTTCCACCATACCGCCGCACCGCTAACAAACTTGTATGTAGCTAAGGTGATCTTCAACCGATCATTGGGCACTACTATTACCCTGAAATGCTTTTCAACTTCATCCAACCAATCATCCACTACCAACGGGTCTAGACCTCCCTCAAATGTTACTTTCATGAGTTTGTTGAACTGGAGTAGGTACCTAAGGTTATGCTCCATCTCTGTCTCTTGTGGCTGAAAAGCCAGTTGCGGTACCACTTGAGGAGCTATGGTACTTGCTAAATTCTGAAAGGCTGAGGCTACAGCCCTTGCTACTAGAACTTTGTCCTCCGGTACTTGTAAATCCTCATCTACCTCTCTATCTGGACCCTGTCCCATTGAAACCCTGTCTGGTTGGGATGGCCCTTCACCTGCTCGCTGTCTAACTTCATTCAGATCCATCTTTCTACGTTGTACTCAACACGATTCTACAAGGACAACTAAACAATCAAAACAAGAATACATAAAGTAGCTCAATCCACAAGCTACGGTGCTCACACTAGCCGTTCGATAAGAGCTAAAACGTTTAGAAACATAAAAATGACTAAGCTCCCCATATACGTGGGTTGGAACCCTTCATAACCCAACACACTACACTATCCCAAACACTCAAACCCGTCAATAATAAAACCAACAAACTATACCTACATCCACTCCCTAGTGGATGAACAACCACTATGTAAACCCTAACATGCAACTACTTTCCAAAACAGAATCATATCTATCATGCTCAACTACTTGTAATAAGAACTTGTATAACATGCTTTTAATAATCTAAAAACTTAACAATTAAACACGTAGTCAACTAAGCATGCTTTCATCAATGGTAAACAATTAACAATTAAACATGTAGCAAATTAGACATGCTTTAAACAAATTTATTCATGTAAGTAGTTGCACACAACCATTTAACATTAAATAGTTGGTCATGCTTTTTATATTCGATAATCAATAAACTCAACAAGCAATAAACACGTAAACATTTAGCAAATAGAGGTGCTTTCAAATTAATCAATCAATAAATTAATAACAATAAACACCTTATCATTTAGCATGCTTTATTTCGTTTGTGACTTCAGAAATTATAAAATCAACTCGTATACAAGTATATAACAATTAATCATGCTTTTGAACTAAACAAACTGAACAAACAACAACAACATAAGCATGCAATCACATCAAACTCAATTTTAACTTAACCTGGGTCAACCCTACCCGTCGCCCTTAGGTTTTCGAACCTAAAGATCTGATACCAATTTTGTAACGACCCAAATTTTCGAATTTACGACAACAACACACAACATAATGCATTTAAAAGCATTCATAATTTCTCAACGTATAGTATCACATCCCCATTCTATATGAAATATCTATATGGTCAATTTACATCAAAATACTATCTAGTATTATAATTACAGTACACGGTCATACTTTATAGAAGAAAATACATTTTCAAGGTAACACTTACAAAGGAGCAAGTTTCTGGAATACAAAAGCAAGCAAAATGAACTCTAAATCTCCGAACTAAAATTTTAGTAATCCGTCTCCGCCGGTTCTTTCTCGAGTCCTGAAAAATATAGAGGAGTGAGCACGACAGCTCAGTAGAGGTTTCTTAAGTGGCAGCTCCTCAAACAAAGTAAATAATACAATGTTTTACACACAATGAATAGGGAAAAGGGGTGGGATCATGCGAGGGATTTTACATATGGCACTTAAGTTTTCAAATAATAGTCATTACCATCACATACAATGCAATGCATAAAATATCAATGCAACCACACTTCACACCATACCCTCGGTTATTCACGCACCCCGTCCATACCACCGTGTAACCACACCTCTTTTTCCCACGCCCACACATCTACGCACCTCATCTACACCCTTACCTCTCTTGGGCCCATCAATACCCTTATGCATATAGGGCATTTTAATTTCAATCATTCAATTTGCAATATTTCCTTCATTATGAAATAAACAATTTTATGGCCATATCAAGTTTATTAAACAACTTTAGCATGCTTCAATATACACCAAACAACTGTACTAGGAATAACATATATAATCCAACACATAGTCATTTCTTAGCATGTCATTAGAAATTCACACACAAAATAAATATTAATTCCATCAAAACCATCAATTGGGTTAAACTCAAGCATAAACCAAAGCCCTAGAAATTTCATTATTCAATTAACAAACAAATTGACATGCCAAAGGAGGGAAAAAACATCAAACTAGCTACTAAATCAAAGGAAATTGACAATTAAACAAGTCTACCTCAAATTGATGTAGAAAACTCCAAAATTCCTAAATCCAAACCTTATGATTCAAAATTCCAAGGTGCACCAAACGGGGCTTGGCTCTGATCAAATCGTAAATCTCTTCGAGCTCTTCAATTTGCCGTAAACGGCATCAAAAATTTCTCAACGATTTGAGATAAATCAAGATTTGAAGCAAAATGAAAAAGAAAAAGAAAATGGAAGGGAAAGAGAGGAAAGCTGTGTGAGGGGGAGAGAGAATGATGGTCTGATGAAGGCCTAAGGCTTTTGGCCACAATTTATATAAGTGGTGGGTCCCACCACTTTTAATTAAAATTTTACTTTTCTTTCTTTTCTCTTTAATTACCACCACACACATATATATATACAGCTATATAAAACCCACATAAAATACATTAAATAAAATACATCGATGTAAATGGACCCAACTAAAATTCTTGTATGCAATAATTTCGGTAGCGGATATCACACGGGACCGCCTGGCCCAAAAAATAGAAAAATGTCAAAATTGTCACTGTTGCATTTTCAAGAGTCCTAAACTTAAGGAAATGTCCCAACCAACTCTCGGACACACCCGGCACACTCCACGGTGTCCGGTACATAAAATGTGGAAAGACAAAAATACCCTTGCCAAAATAGAAAATCACAGAAAATGAAAAATGATAAAAAAACGAAAACATTACAAGGATATATAATATTCAAGGTTGACAACTTTAAATTAAACACAACTTAAAAGATTCAAAATATCAAGAAATATAAATATAAGTAGTTGGAAAGTCAAGTACCCTCAATTGCATGTTTCTTTTTTGAGACAACTCTTTGTTCTTCCAACTAACCACTTAAGCAGTTACATGGTGCTCACGTGACTATCATGTGAGCATTGTGTCACAATTGTCTTCAAATTATATTATAATTCTCTTAGACATTTTTTTAATTGACTTTCCGAAAACTTGAGCACAAAAGCAGTTTTTTTTGTATAAATTATCTTAAAACAAAAATTGTTCTCTTAAATATGAAACAGGCATTAATTTGTATAGCTTGAAAATAGGGCATTATCCTTATTATACACCAAATAGTCAAATCATAACCTGTTTTAGACGACAATTGTTGTCCAAAACCTTGTATTGAACCATTGATCAATTCTTGTCACTTGAGTGGGTAACATCAGGAAAATACTGGAAAACAAGGTAGGAGATGATTGTTGCAAGTACAATTTGTAGTAAAAGAAGATGGTTTGGGTGAACCACGGATAACCTAGAATCATGATATTGAGGTATATTAGTTATATATTATAAAGAGTACTTGTTCAACATCGGATCTGAATGGAAAGTGAAATGGATATGGTATGTAGTATTACAGATCCATAGATTAAGTTTTTGAGTAAATGCGCAAGCGTCCACCCATCACAGTTAATATCAGAGCCAGAGAAGGGGTTCAAGAGAACCCCACCAGGATAGACAGGATAACCCAATCGCAACGGGGGCTACAGTGGCCAAACGGGTCGTAAACAAACATACATACATGGAATATGAGCCGTGAAAAATAAGAGAAACCCTTGACTTAACAGTTCAGAAATGCGATGAAAACAAGATATCGTTAATGGGGAGGAGAGAGAGAGTAATAGAATTGCTGCAATAATTTGAAAACACTTGGCCTTAGGCGTTCATTAGGGTTTAGGTTAATTTTAATGTAGTGATGGTATGGCATCACAGAGTAATTAAACAGTGACACATAGCTGTAGAACCAACTGAAATTCTCGATCTTTGGGATTGCCTCAACTGGGTCAGGTATTGTCATTGCCCATTGTCTACTAATTGCTGTAGTATGACCATTTCAATCATGTAATGTGTGGGGATTGCTTTTTCTTGTTTCTGTGGTCAGGCATGACTCTGGTCTTTGGCGTTCCATATATTGTGCATATTTGGAGAAGCAAAAATATGTCAAAGACAATGGAGCTTGCCTAACAAGTATGATCATCTGTTCTGTTTTAGCTTAATTGACTTTCTAGTATAAACGTCTTGTTCATTGTATGCAAATTTGGTTTACATTTCTCTACATATGACCTGCTTTTGTTTTAGGTTTTGGGTTAATTGCACAAAATTCCCTTAATTACAAAAAAATTGACCATTCCCTCTTAGCTAGAATAATAGTAACCCATGTTTCCAAACGAAGACCAACAACTTCTCTGACATTAGGTGGCTATTAAAGATGACTTGAAAATTACTAAATTGTTCTTAAAGTTGATTGCACAAAATCTCCCAGAGCTATAAGAAATCTGCACGTTAACCCTGGAACAGAGGGTAACATGAAATTCTTTTATATTCTCTGAGTCCCAGTTCTTGGACCATATGTTTCATGACGTTAATTGGACAAAATGAGATCTCTTGCACAAAAATTTTGATACTTCAGGGTGGTTTCTTAATGTTAATTTTTGTAGTTTAAGGGGGTTTTATGCAATGAGATGTCTAATTTTTGTGTTATAATTCAAAATCGATTTTATTTTGTATATTTCAATTGTTACCTACTGGAGCACAGCTTTTCCATACACCAATCAACACAGAGTCACAAACTCTAAAGAACAAAAGTATGTCAGTTATAGGTGCAGTCCTTTGCACATTATTCTTAGCCTCATGGGATGGGAGAATTCAGCTCTGCAAATAACAAGGGGTTGTAGTGAGGGAACCTAAAGTTAGAATGTCTCTTAAATGAAATGCTCTGGATAGACTTGGCATCATCTGTTGGACGAAGTGAGTTTTGTGTGAGCCCTATGACAAAACCTCATCAATTCAGATAATCATTCTCAAAGTTGAAGGAGAGAAATTATCTTTCGTCTTTCATCCACGCAAGAGACTATTTATGAGGATGATACTTCCAAACCACATAAATCTACTTTGAACTGCCATGAAAGAAAGAACAGGAGGTATTGTCTAAGTGAAAGGCAAATATTCCTATGTCCATCATTAATATCCTTAATTTGGCTAGTCTACTCTTTCTCCTTCATTCAATCTCCATCTCAGGGTCCCTTGCATTTGTGTGTTGAAAATATCTCTATTATTATTATTATTATTATTATTATTATTATTATTATTATATTCTATTCTGTTACAGCAAAGAACCCCTACACAAGCCAAACTATTCTTTACATTTTACCTTTCTTCTGTATTCCTATATTGTCACTTCATTGTACCATTGTAGTGTAGTGTAGGGCCCAAAAGTTGATGCTGCAAGTAGGGTTCATAGATAATTATGCTGTATTCTTATTCTTTTATTTCCAAATTCAACTTTTCTCTTCTTTACTGTTTCCATCTTTATCTTTAGGAAGCTTGAAGCTGATGCAAATAATGGATTTACTCATGCTTCTTCTTTACTCTTTCAATAAGCTATCTATTAACATGCTTTTGGCCCATTAATCAAGCTCCTATTTCCTTAATTTGGTTCCCCGCTTCGTTTTCACTTTTTCTTAATTCCTCTTTAACTTCCCACCTATTTTCCCAATCAACAATCACTTTCTGCATCAGGAGGAAGGAATCAATATAATTTGTTATAGACTCATATAGATCTATCTGTTCCCGTGTTCTGTTTTGTTATTTTTATTTGATTTGCTGTTCTGTTTTTGTTTTGTGTTTGTTCAAAATCAAATGAAGAAAGGATCAAGTTTCATAAAATGATAATACTACTAAATCAAATTAGAGCTGTCTTTTGAGGTTGAAACTTTTGAAAGACTAAACTAAGTATAATTATAATTAAGATTTTGCTTTAAAAAAATAATGAAAAACAAAAGGAAACTTGGAGTCAATAAAATGTCAAATTATCTAAAAAATCTAAAATAGAAAATATAGCTAAAAAATTCATAAGTTCAGGTTTTGAATTGTGTGAAATTGAAGCGTTTGAAATTCATGAGAAAATTGGAGTAAAAGAGAATAATCCAAACATGAAGCATATGCTTCCAACTCAAACATGTTAGGAAATAATCTGAACAAATTACATGGTTTACCTGTTTAACTTTTTGAAAGACAAGAATAACTTTTCTCAAGAAAAAATAAAATAGTTTAACTTTCTTGTTTTCCTTTTCTCTTAAAATCTTTGATTGACAATAAGAATTGGGTTCACTGTCAAAAGAGAGGATCCACTTTGATTGACAATAAGAATAGGGTTCTTTGGCTTTTTACATAACACAACATGAAGTGATGAACCAAAGCAAAGCATAATTATATTCAAAGCAAAGCAAATCAAAGCGTAATTATATTCACTGATAAAATAGAATCCAAAGTAACCAAGAATGACTTCTATTTATTGAAATTCATACAGAGATTGGGCAGACAAGCCATCTAAACCCACTGTCTTTATTGTCATCTGAGAGAAAGAAAGAGAAGAGAGAATGGCAGAGAGTGCAGTAAACTTTCTGATCAACCAGCTGACACCGCTCCTTCAAGAAGAGGCCAAACTTCTGGGAGGAATTCGGGAAGAAGTTGAGTTCATCAGAAATGAGTTGGAGTAGATGAGAGCTTTCCTGAGAGTTGCTGATGCAAAGGAAGAGCTTGACCCAGAGCTTCAAGTATGGGTTAAGCAAGCGAGGGAAGTTGCTTATGATACTGAAGATCTTCTTGATGAATTCATCCTTCGCCTTGCTCATCATCATGGGGATGGATTTTGTGGTTTTCTTCGTAAGATTTCTTGTTCTATTAAGAACTTGAAAGCTCGCCATCGAATTGCTTCTGAGATACGTAGAATAAAGTCCAGAGTCGAAAATATACATCAAAGATATCGCGATAGATTTAGTATCTCAGAGTATGGATCAAGCTCCACTGTCGTCAACAACACATGGTATGATAGCCGAGGTGATGCACTTCTACTGGAAGAAGCTGAGCTTGTGGGCATGGATGGTCCCAAGAAGCAGCTGATTGGGTGGCTTGTGGAGGACACTCCAAAACTCAAAGTTATTTCGGTGGTAGGGATGGCGGGCATGGGGAAAACCACTCTGGTAAAGAAGGTTTATGATGATGTGGAGGTGAAGAAACATTTTCAATGCCATGCTTGGATCATTGTTTCTCAAATCTTTGAGCTCAAGGAGCTTCTCAAAGACTTGATTCTACAAGTTTTTGATGAAGTCAAGCAACCGCCTCCTCAAAGATTGGAAACTGCTGACCACAACAACTTGAAAGCACAAATCAAAGATTTCCTCCAACAGCGAAGGTACGTGCTTGTTCTAGATGATGTTTGGAGTATAAATGCATGGGATGCTTTAAAACATGCATTGCCTGACAACAATAGTGGCAGCTGAATACTGCTCACTTCCCGTATTGGTAGTGTAGCTTCTATGTCTTGTGTAGAATGCCGTGGTAACATCTATACTATGGAACCACTGTCCCCGGAAGTCTTGGACTCTATTCCTCTATTCTGTAGGAAGACATTCCCAGACAACTACTGCCCTCCACATTTAGAGGAACTCTCACGAATTATCTTAGAAAAGTGTGAGGGCTTGCCACTTGCAATTGTGGCAATTAGTGGTGTTTTGGCTACAAAAGACAAAAGTCTATTGCATGAATGGGAATTAGTTCACCGTAGCCTTGGTGCTCACTTAGAAGGCAATGACAAACTCGAGAGTATGAAAAAAATACTCTCTCTTAGTTATTACGATTTGCCTTACTATCTGAAAATATGTTTCTTGTACTTGGGTATATTCCCCGAGGATCACAAGATTGAGCGCATCAGCCTGATTCGACTGTGGACCGTCGAAGGATTTGCAGAAGTGAGAGAGGGAATGACAATGGAAGAAGTTGCTGAAGGTTACCTCAATGAGCTTAACAGAAGCTTGGTCCAAGTGGCAAAGATAGATGATGCTGGAAGGCTTAGAGAGTGTCGTATCCATGACCTTTTCCATGAAATAATTACTTCAAAGTCAAGAGAACAAAACATTGCAGCAATAGTTAGCAAAGGAAACACAAGGTGGCCAGAAAAAGTTCGCCGCTTATCAATCCACTGTACCTTGGGAAACTTGCAACAAACAAATTGTTTTTTCAACTTCGTTCATTGCTCATGTTCTCGGTGGCAGAACCTATATCCAAGTCATTGATACCTATATTCAATGGCGGGGGGAGGTTGTTGAAGGTTTTGGACCTGAAAGGTTCTTCTTTAGAGACACTACCAGATGACGTTGTCAAACTATTTCATCTAAGGTATTTAAGCTTGAGGGAAACAAAGATTAAAATGCTTCCAAAATCCATAGGTAAGCTTGAAAACCTTGAAACTTTGGATCTAAAAGATACTCATGTAACTGAGCTGCCTGTTGAGATCCTAAAGCTCCAAAGACTTCGCCATCTCTTGGTGTATCGGCATACTAAAATTTATCCCATTTACAATTTATATGGTTTTAGAGCAATAACGGGAATAGAAGGTTTGTCTTCCCTACAAAAACTTTGTTTTATAGAAGTGAACAATGACAATGGTAGGATTGTAGTGGGAGAGATAGGGAGACTCACCCAACTGAGAAGATTGGGGATTGCTAAGTTGAGGAGGGAAGATGGGATGCGTTTGTGCTCCTCTCTTCAAAAGCTGAGCAACCTTCTCTCATTGTCTTTACGTGCTGTAGATGAGGACGAGATTGTTGATGTTCAACACTTGTCTTCTCCTCCTCGGTTTCTTCAACGGCTCTATTTGAAGGGACGTTTAGAAACGGTACCGCACTGGATAACTTCTCTTCATAACCTGGTGAAAGTACGGCTTTCGCTTAGCAAGTTAAGGGATGATCCATTGCAGTGTCTTCAAGATTTACCCAATCTGGTACAAATTTCACTTCGTCAGGCATATGAAGGGGAGGAATTGTGTATCAATGCGACAGGGTTTCCGAAGCTTAAGGTATTTAGTCTTGCACAACTAGATGGATTGAGGTGGGTGAGAGTGGCGAAGGGATCAATGCCTCATCTCGATATGTTGCATTTTGTGGACTGTAAGTCGTTGGAAGAGGTACCCACAGGCATTGAACATCTAACCAACCTTAAGTCCTTGAGCTCAATTGTATGTCAGATAAATTGATTATGACTTTGAATCGAGACAATCAGAGTGGCAATTATTGTAAAATAGCACACATCCCCAAAGTTTGGGTTGGAACTTTCCTGAATGGTATGTGGGATGGAGATTTTCTAGAGAGAGAGAGAGAGAGAGAAACTGTGAGAGAGACAGAAAAGAGTCCTTGTAAAGTTGAGATCATTACTATCATCACTGGACATAATATTCGCTTTTATTTTATTTTTTGTAGGATTAATGATTTTGTTTTTCTTTTGTATTTTGTTACCCTTTTTAAGTAATAAAAGTTGTTGTATATTGAGTTACATTGGTCACTAAGAAAGAAACGAAAAAAATAAAAGAAAAGAAAAACTAAAGCATATTGTTTGCCTCAAGGAATTTGTTCTTCTCCTTTTGACTGTTTGTTCTATTGGAAGCCCCATATTGATGTTCCCACCTGTGTCTTGACGGTAGTTAGTTAGTTACCTGTGTGGAAGATTGGTTTCACAGAAGGCTTTAATCTTGGGTCTCTTGGGCCCTCTTTCCTGTATTGGAATATGTAACATGTTAGCTGAGATATGTCAGCCCATGTACAAGTGCAAAAATTAAGTTTTGTTGAATAATCACACTATCAGCTTACATACATAAATCTTGACCGAAAATAACATACATGCGTAACTACTCGATTAAAAAAAAACACCATATGTATGTATGTGTGTGTGTGTATATATATATATGGGGGACTGTCAAAAACTAGTCGTTTAAAGTGTTTACATTACATATAGAACAAGTCCATCATGAATTCCAGCAAGAACTTTAACATCTTCAAGAATAATCTCAACTTGATAATTGTAGGAACCAACAATTCACAATTTAGTATGAACTCACCCAACGATCAACTTCAGTGCTTCAACTAACATTCCTTTCTTTCCGTAGGTCCTCAGTGTTATCATCCTTTTCCCACAAACCAACCAAAAAATTCCATAGCTGCTTCCAGGAGAATCCAAACAATTTCAGAAACGCGACATTTAAAGAAAAGATGAATAATTTGACTATTCTTCTAAGCCACAGACCTTTCATCATTTACCACTGCTCTCCGCTTCAGTACTTGAGCACTAAAGCACTTCCAACTTTCCATAAAAATGTATAAATGAAAATTGAAAGTGAAAAAGATAAAGTGTGTTGAAAGATTGAGAATTTACACTTCTCTTTGTGGTTGCTTTGTGTTTAAAAAAATTGGAATGTGATGGTGTTATTGAATAAAATTGAAACAAAATTTAAACTATATACACTGACCATGATATTTAGCTTGGGATTTTATGATTATGGAAAAAGAATTGGAATAAAGTGAACACTATGACAGTGTAGAAATGATATTTACGGAGAAAATAGAACACTATTGTAGTAGAATTTATGCTTGTTTAAAATGTTCGACGCCACCATAGTTCAAAATAAAATAAATAAAATTGAAGAATGGGACTAATTTTACTTGTTCTTGAACAGAAAAATCATTATCATTTGTACGAAAGACATATGGTGGCTCTCCTTCCTGCCAAGGAAATCCTACTTCTAAAGACCAGTTAAAGTATTAAAATACTTTAGAAACCTGCGAAAATTATGGGTATGTTTGATTTAGTGATAAAATGGGCGAAAAATTTGGAACAATAAGGGACGCTACAGGAAGAGTCAAAAAGTGAGTCCATTAGTGAAAAAGTAGATTCCTCTTAGGCCATAGGCTCGCGGAATATCGCGAGGCCGAGCCCAATGGCTGTATTTTCTTTTTGTTTTTATCTTGACAAAAATGGTGAACTTTTCTTTTTTTTTTTTTTTTTTTTTCAAACGGTCAGAATGGTTTTTTTTTAAGAAAAAAACCTTAAAATAAGTTATTTTGAGCTAAATAAAATTCATTAAATAAAAAATATATTATTTAGGCATGTTTGTCCAAAAAAAAATATATTATTTGGCCCAAAATAAATTAAAAAACCTTTTTACTCCCGTTAATTTTTTTTTTTTTTTAAATGTATACCACAAATAGTGTATTTGGCCGTAAAGACACTATTTAACTGACACAAACAGTGCCTTAACGGCTATAATTTTTAAAAAAATGTTTTAAAATTTAAATTTTTTTAACTTTATTCAAAAAAAAAAAATTAAATTAAAAATTTTAAAATCACTTCTCTTCTATAAATACCCCAACTCCAACTATCATTCGTCACATCTAACCCATCTCTATTATCTATCATTCAACTTATTTTTTCCTCTATTTTCTCAATCTCAGCTATTATTTTCAAACTCATTTTGATTCCATAGATCCTCAACATCCATTTTATTACAACACTTAATTCAACCCATCAAACGATGAGTTTTTGTCATTTCCCGAAGACAATATCAATATTTCTTCACAGTCAGAACTACGTTCTAATTATTATGGAGGAGAATCTCAATTTCTTTCTCATCAACCATCCCAACCTTCTTATTTTTTTTGGCCCTTATTCTCTCTAAATAAAAAATAAATAAAAAATAAATCGATTTAGGGTTTTTCAACCTAGGTGGCAAGGGCGTTCATCACAGGGATGGAGGAGGGCCAGACCTCCTCCCCTTTTCTGCCGGTGGGTTTTCCAAACTGGACTATAAACCCTATCACCTCTTGGTGTCGTTTCTTTACTGAACGACATCCGACTTCAAGAACTTAAAGTTTCATAGTAATGTATGTGGGAAGAAAATTTCTATCTCTGAAGACGATGTTGCTGATGAAATCAAGTTCTGGTCTTCCTCTGTTGTAGGTTATGTGATGGGAAAGAAACCGTATTATCACTATTTTAAGTCATTTGTTGAGAAGCGATGGTCTAAGAATTTCACTTTGGTTTACTTGAAGGATGGTTTCTTCTTGGTTCATTTTTATGATGCCTCAGATGTTATGAAAGTGCTATCTGGTATACATACATTTGAGGGAAGACCCATTATTCTTAAGGAATGGAGTAAGAATGTTAACCTAGTAAAAGAGGTTTTGGAATCTGTCCTGGTGTGGAAGAGAATATATAATCTACCAGTTCATTGTAGGAAAGCACAAGTTGTGTCAATAATATGTTCTTCCTTTGCTAAACCGATATATATAGATGTTACATAATCAAACATAGATAAAGGAAGGTATCTACGTGTAATGGTTGAGGTCGATGTGAAGGAAGAACTTCCAGATTCAACGGTGGTAGATATACATAGGGTTGACTGTGTTCTAGAGTTAGAATATAAATGGAAGCCTCAGGTCTGTACTCTCTGTCAAAGAGTGGATCATGTGAAGGAAAAATGTCCACAAAAGGTTATTCAAGCTAATCCTAAAGAAGTGGTGGAAAAATGGATTGTAAAGCAATAAGGAAAACTAGTCAGCAATGATGAAGCTGTGGTGTTTGAAGAAATGACTCAAAAGGGTCCGGTGATTCATAAAGTTATTGCTGAACCACTCCCTACTACGAATGCCTTCCAACTATTGCAGACTTTAGAACAAGAAAAAGACTTGGTGGAGGTTTTACCAGAGAATAGGGAAATGGAGGCAATCCAAGAAGAAGTAGTTGAAGTTCTACAGTTAGAAAATAGGGATGAGACTACATTAGAGTTAGAGACAATTCCTAACTCAGTTCGCATACAGCAGATTAAAGAAGCATCTATGAGTGGGGATGATAAAGATGGTTTAACTACTAGTGTAGAAGGGGATGTCTGTGGTAATATTACTGCTGCTATTCAATCACAGCAGGAGAACTTGACAGAAGAAGGATCTGTGTGTGAGGCTAGAAAGGTTGATCTAACTATAAGTACAGAAGGGGTTGAAGGTGGCAATTCTACTGCTATTGCAAAAATTTTAGGGAAATCAAAGTTTAATTCATAAAAGGAAGGTTCTATGAGAGGGGCTTGTGACGACATTGGTTTTTAGGCCAACATGTCCTGTGATGAACCGAAGATTGACCCGATAACGGATCCGATATGCGGAAGCGAAAATAGAAAATAAGACTCTAAGAAGTCAAAGTGACCTTCCATGAGGTCGTAGAACTCAATGAGAACTGATGCGGAAACAAAGATCGAAAATATGACAAATAAGCCCCCAGGGGCAAAATAGTCATTTCTAGAAACTGTGGACTCGGGTGCCACTGAGCACACCACTGGAAGGACAACGAAAAACTAATCAAGATGGACTCAAGAATCACTTGATTCGGAGTCCGGATGAAGAAGATATGAAACTCCAAAGTTTCATAAAATCAAACTTTTGGGTTTAAAATCAATGCGGCAAGGGTACTTTACAAGGGGTAAAATGGTCTTTTTAGACAAAACTGGATGCAACTGAACATACTAATAGATAGACTAAAAAAAATTAATAAATCTAGACTCAAGAATCACTTGATTCGGAGTCCGAATGAAAAAGATATGAAACGTCAAAGTTTCAAAAAAACCAACTTTTGAGTTTAAAATCAGTGCGGCAAGGGTACTTTACAAGGGGTAAAGTAGTCTTTTCAGATAGAATTGGATGCAACCATGCATACCGTTGGATAGACAAGCAAAAACTAATAAACTTAGACTCAAAAATCACTTGATTTGGAGTTGGGACGAAGAAGATATGAAGCTTCAAAGTTTCAAAAAAATCAACTTATTTTCCGGGTAAGAAATCTGGGCAGGAATAGTGTTTTTACAGCAAGCAATATTTGATTTTTTTCTCCGAACTGAGGCTAAAAACGGACCCTTAAACGAGCTTTTCTGGAAAAACACGAAGAACAAACCCCCCTTAAAATCACATTTTCTACCCGGCATAGCAAAAGGAACGGAGAAAAACACGATGTAAGATTTCTAAAATGCCCCTAGATCAGCTTAGGTCAAGAGGGACCCAAAAAGCTGTTACAATAAATTTCTTCAGGATCAGTCCACAAGTGAGAGCAAAAATGGGCTATCAAATGAATTTTTCTGGAAAAACACGAAAAATAAACCCCTCCCGAAATCGAGTTTTCTACGTGACTTGTAGAGAAATAAAAAAAAAAAAAAAACTCAATGTAGAATGCCCAAAATGCCCCTCCATGAAATCTGGTCATGAGGGTCATAGAGTTGCTAAATGTAAAACTGGAAGCTGAACTTTGTAATGGATTTCCGGTATCAAGATGACATTTTCTGAAAAATCACGAAGAAGAAACCACCCCTAAAATCACATTTTCTAAGCGACAAAGTCGAAAGAAGAAAATAAAACTGATCTAAAAAGTCTAGAAAGCCCCTAGATCAGTTTATGCAACAAAGTTTCAAAATGAGTCCATAGGAGACTCATTTCACCAAAGAAGAAGGTTTGCCCGGAAAC